GCTTCGGATTAAATGATTTCTTGGGCCGTGTGCGTGGTGTTTTTTGTTTTAGTCACAAAATGACTTGTGTACACTATTATGGCCATAGAAGTTATAGCTCCCGTAGGCCAGCAGTGAGGGTTAGCTATCAAAGAGCTTGTTATCAGTTGACTCGCTTATTCGCAAAGTTCGGTGGAGGGGACATTCTATGGTTTCGGTGAAATTGTTTTAGAATGCGAGTTGATACTGTAGCGAGTTTGTGCAAGGGAGAAGCTGGTAATTTAAGGATGTGCTTCTTTGACAAACTTATAAATGTCCTGCAATCTGTAGTTGTTTTTATTACTATTACCATCAGAATAGAAGAAATGATATCCACTTGTTGCTATAAGTCTGTTTCGGCATTCTTGAAGCATATTTTGAGAAGAGCTTGGATGTTTTTGACTTTGAGGCTGTGTTCTAAGTTTGTGAACATGTCTGTAAATCATGTTGCGTTAATCCTAATTTTAGGAAAATGAAGTTTATCTACCTCTAGACTAATGTTATTTTTTTGAAATCTCTTGAGGACTCTTGATGTGAGATTTATTGGTTAGCTTTCGCTGCGACAATAGCTTTTTAAGACCTACAAGACATCAACATATTACAATACTTCAAACCTAGAAGACATCAACATACTAAACATTAACTGACCAAGCTGATGCTCTCGCTAATGGGATCCTCTGCAAAGTACAATTCAAGACCGCATTAGACCATTGTACAAACCAGGACAATAACAAAAAGGATGATCACCTCACCTAATGCAGTTGCTAATGAAATGAAAATGAGCGGTACGTGACTATTTCACAGTACTGAATTTTATCCACCGTTAACTCAAAAGTCTCAGGGCCTTCATGGCCTCCTTTCTGATGTTTATTTCTGGAGATAGCCGCTTGATAGCGAGTGCCTTTAACAATTTGTTTCTAAGGAGACATCTTTCGAGCGGTGTAGCACAGTGACCTTTATTGAAGGAAGCGGTTCTTATCCATGGTAAGTTGTGCGATGTAAATTTGAATCTCACGATTTGGTTCACTTTCTTAGCAATACTCTCGTTCACGTATGGTAGTACTAGTGGTATTCCTCAGACAGTAAAAAAAGGACGCCAAGACTGTGCTTCACATGTTGTGTAACCGTTCTCTCCCAGTATTCTAGAAACAGTTCGCTCCAGTTCTGCTGATTCTCGGGTGCAAATCCTCATCTTCGTCGTGATAAGATTCCGTACCACGTTTGCTTTCATGTGCAGTGGATGAGCACTACTAGAGTGCAGAATGATGTTCTTGGACATAAGTTTTGTATACCGCACAAACTCTTCAGTGCTATGGCTCAATCGAACCTTCGTATTGAAGAACGGGAGGAAGCCACACTCATCCACCTTATAGTGTATGTTCGGGTCACACGAGTTTAGATCTTGAAGCAACATTTGCATCGCGGTGGTAGAGCACATCACCAACACATTGTCTGTGTATCGTTTGTAGAATGCGATTCCCGTGATCAGAGATCTTCTTACTTGCGATCCAAATAGACGACGGGAAGAGGTGCAATTCTAAGCCCCATGGCCAAGCCACGTTACTGTGGATAGAGTTCTCCATCAAACTGGAAGATGCATATTGCATTTGAGTGTCGCAGTCAGAAGCTTACGGAGACCGTCTTCCAATAATCCGTAAGTGTGCAGTTCAGGATGTTGACGAAGAAGTCCCATCACAGACTGTACGGCATCATAGTTGTTAACATTTGTGAGAAACAACGTCAAAGCTTGCGTAACACTCATCATTGGGTACCTCGCAACGGCTCATATAAAGTCTCCTGCGTTGACGATGTGAGAAATTACATGATGGAGTAGCGGCGACAGGAGCTCCACGACGAACTAGCTTATTCTATCTGATGGACCTATACATGAAGATATGATTGGTCTTGTCTTGATCAAGTTCTCCTCGATGCGATGTAAATCATCGTCTTCTGAAAACTTGTGCGTTTTGACCAGTGCATAATATGTTGGGATGGATGGGAACGTCAGCAGAAGTCGCTTGATCGTCCTTCTCCTTTCGCCGCTATTCCATCATGTAGCTGCTGATATCGTCAACGCAGGAGACTTCATATCAACCCTGAACCGTTGCGAGGTACCCATTGATGCGTGTTACGCAAGCTTTGACGTTGTTTCTCTATACACAAATGTTAACAGCTATAATGCCGTACAGTGATGGGACTTCTTAGTGAATATCCGGAAGTGCACACTTACGGATTATTAGAAGACGATCTTCGTCAGCTTCTGACCGCGACACTGAAATGCAGTGTCTTCCAATTTGATGGAGAGCTCTATTCACAGAAACGTGGCTTGGCCATGAGGCTTAGAATTGAACCTCTTCCCGTCGTCTATTTGGTTCGCATAGTAAGAAGATCTCTGATCACGGAAATTGCATTCTACGAACGATACACAGACAATGTGTTGGTGATGGGCTCTACCACCGCGATGCAAATGTAGCTTCAAGATCTAAACTCGTGTGACCCGAACATACACTTTAAGGTGGATGAGTGTGACTTCCTCCCGTTCTTCAATACGAAGGTTCGATTGAGCCATAGCACTGAAGAGTTTGTGCGGTATGGAAAACCTATGTCCAAGAACATCATTCTGCACTCTCGTAGTGCTCATTCACTGCACATGAAAGCAAACGTGGTACGGAATCTTATCACGACGAAGACGAGGATTTGCACCCGAGAATCAGCAGAACTGGAGCGAACTGTTTCTAGAATACTGGGAGAGAACGGATACACAACATGTGAACCACAGTCTTGGCGTCCTTTCTTTACTTTCGAAGGAATACCACTAGTACTACCATACGTGAACGAGAGTATTGCTAAGAAAGTGAACAAAATCGTGAGATCAGCGGACCTTCCCCTGAAACTAGTGTTTCGCCCACCGAAGAACATCAAAAACTTGTTGACATCATCGAGAATTTACGAAGAAAAATGTGGTCGAAATAACCTCTCGTCCTGCACGGAAACAAAGATCTGCCAGTTATGAGGGACAGTTTGTGTGGTCACATACGAAGCGTGTGGTCGAAAGTATGTGGGAGAAACGATGAGACCATTGTACAGAAGGATTGATGAACATATGCGAGCGTTGCGAAATCTTTCGTCTCACATAAACAATGGTTTTGCACGACATCGCACGATTTACCATGGACAAGAATCGCCTCCTTCAATAAAAGTCACTGTGCTACACCGCTCGAAAGAAGTCTCCATAGAAAGAAAATTGGTAACCCTCTCGGCCCTGGCGGTGGCAATTGCCACCATCAAATTCAAATGTTTGCATTGCCGTTGAAACAGCATGGTTTTTCCAATTCTGTTGGGGGTTGCTTCACTTAACCTTCCCTTCCTACTTAATTAAGGACTAAATCTGTCATTTTATTGTGTGTTGTTGTTGGGATTACAAGTATTTGTGTGCAAGTGCAACAATGAATCGACGCTGGTCCCCGCAACCTGCGAAGTGTCACTTTTCCTAAAATACTTAAAGTATGTAGATACATTCTTTTATCAAAATTATGGGTCATAATGTTGTGCAAGATTATAAACCTTTTCGGCATAACTATGAAATTCGGAACTATTTCGACATAAGCTCAAAAACTAAGAGGGTGTGCCAATTTTCAAAGCTTCCTAGTTTCTTAGTTTGTGGTCGAGGAGCTTCTAAATTTCGCTATAATGATGCTTATATGCTCACAATAATAAACAATAGCTAGAAGAAAAATTTCTCCACGGAAAAAACTCAGGTCCGAAAGGGTTAAAAGCACTCGATATCAAGCGGCTGTCTCCAGAAATAAACATCAGAGAGGAGGCCATGAAGGCCTTGAGAATTTTGAGTTACGCTGGATGAAATTTAGTACTCTTGGTTTGTATTATACAATAGTCTAATGCAGTCTTGAATTGTGCTTTGCAGAGTATCTCATTAGCGAGAGCATCAGCACATGGTCAGTTAATGTTTAGTATGTTGATGTCTTCTAGTTTTGAAGTATTGTAATATGCTTGATGTCTTGTAGGTCTTAAGAAGCTATTGTCGCAGCGAAAGCTAACCAACAAATCTTACATCAAGAGTCCTCAAGAGATTTCAGAAACGAAAATGTACAATTTATGAGGCTCAGGGAGAGCTCTATAATGTTAATATTACCGACTGCCCAATATGATTTTATAGTCTGTTTCTGTTTTTTACTGCTGTGTTATATCTGATATGGGTCTGGAGATCTTCGAATGTCGCCTGTAGCTCTAGCGCAAGATGCTTACACTATTGTGTGCACCTATAATGGACCTGAACTTTATGGGATCTTTATGTAACTTTGGTAGTGCCTAAATTGTGGGAAGTTTCATATCAGTAGACAAGCTCAGTACGCTGCAGCTAGCGCACCTTTGGTCACAAACACACCACATTCTGCTTCCCTCGGCCCCTAACTACTGCTTCCACTGTAGGTACGTCCACGCTGCACACAGACACACACATTATCGTAATCTCTCGTTTCAAGGAGAACTGCCTAATAATTGGAAGTTGGATCATTATGCAGCAGCCTCAGGATGGAGCGGTTGAGCTCCTTGAGCCTGACTGATGGCAGATGACGTCATACTCTGAGGACGGCGAAGGCAGTGGAGAAGGGCTCCGTACATGTGCTTATTCGCTTTGCACCAGCTGTAAAATGTGGAGGAATTGTACTCTATCGAGATTTTTTAAAGAAACGCACTTTTCTCGAGCCTTTCCATTTTCCATCGAAATTTACCTTTCATATACAAATACAAAGTCGGAGGTTCTGTAGCTTCATAGTTCTTTTTCATAATGGCTTTAACGATAAATTTATTAATTGCAGAGATCGGAATGGAATTACACAAAAACTACAAAGGCGACTGTACCGAACGTGTCACATGGCGAATGTACAATGGGAGTAAAAGAAGAATCATATATGGCAACTGTGCAAAGTGACAATCAGTGTGGCGAACGAGTACGAGACATCTCACACTGTTTGACACATCGTGATGAACTCATTGACCGTAACAGCACCTTTTCCTTCAGAATCCGCCTGAAAATACACGCTTCGTCTCGCACCTGTCCTAAGGGGTTGTCTAGTATAGAAAGAGAAAGCAGAGATGAGTGTATCCAAATTTGTGTTGCATTCAGATTTACTCTACCAGCCTGGAAAATTAGCAATTAGGCTGGGATTGCCATTAGCCTAGATGGTACAATGGTGGTATGGTATCCTAGAAACCCAATATATTCACGCTGTAAAGTCTTAATTATTGTGCTACGGACTGTTCTCGTGTTCAAAGGCACGGAATTAGATTCTTTGAGCAATTATAGTCCGCGAGTTAGGTAGCAGGACCCCTTATCAGGGGATACTGTCGCAGCTTCAATGTGCGCGAAAAGGAAGCTAAGATGTCAGTCAGATTCGGCGATTGCAACGCGATGGACCAGCGACGGAGCGACGCGATCGCTGGTTCATCGCGAGTCGACTGCATCGATTGGGGGCGGGGCCAATCGCCCGTTGCTTGTGCACATTGCAAGAGCGATGCCATCGCCCGTCGCTTGCACAAGTGCAAGCGATTGCAACGCGATGGACAAGCGATGGAGCGATCGCGTCGCTGTTGCAATGCCTAGTCCGACCGAAATCTAATGCTTTCGCTCAACCGCTGCGAACACTGCCATCTTTATCAACGCAGAGCACACATGGCACCTGTGCGCTCCCGCGTACAGCGTAATCTCGCGTGTTTTCTTTTTCGTCGCAGCAATGTACCTCTGCGATGTACTACCGCCGACCCACAAGAAAAATTTTGTGTTTTCTACGGTGCTGTTTGCTTTTGTTTCTTCACTAACTTCCTCTTCCACCCCTAATCTGATTTTTAATCAAAGTAAGCATCAGCTCGATAGCGATCTGTGCCTTGGAGGTCGTGGGAAAAATTCTTCACACTCTTCTAATTGGGGTAGTCCATTGGATAACAGCGGGGATCCATACACATAGAGCTCGCTCTGAATATACTGCAAGTTCAAGAAAATCCTATATTCTAAAATGTGAGTGATCTGTCCGCTCCTTAATTTGCGCAATAACAGAACAGAAACATGCGCAGTTAGAATTACTTTTCATTCAGAAATTGTATGGAGAGGGAAGAGAGTGAAGGTTCGAATATCATTGTCGTGAAAAAAGATTACGCTCACTCTGGGAGCTTGGTTCATTACCCTTGCTTAGTATCTCTACTAAATGTGTCGCTAGGCCATAACTCAGCGCAGTGATTGGCAGGAGAACGAACAAAGAAGGAAAAGAGTAATGCAGTAGGAAAAGGGAGGGAACCAGAACCGTGGACTGAGACGAGACGAGACCACCTAATAAACGAAGTTCTTGTAGAAGGAATCGCTTGCCTGGCATTCGGGAAAAGAGAGAGAGGTTACGCGTTGGCCTTTCTTACAGGATTTTCCATCCCAAATCGTCATTCTTGCAATTGATTTCGGAATTGTTGCAACCAATTTCGTAAACGTTGCAACCAATTTCGCCAAAGTTCCAGCACATTTCGTAAACTTTGCAATCAATTTCGTCATTTTGACTCCTAATTCGTCATTCTTGTAATCAATTTCGCCAAAAATAAAAATTTCGCTGAAGCTTATCCTACAGGGGTTATGGGGGGACCCGATCACGAATGTGACATTCGTTTTTGACGCTGGCGCCAAATTGGCACTATGGCGTCCGGCTTCGCCGCGACTCATTCCCAGCAAATTCGCTGTGAACTTGTGTACAGGGGCTTAGTTACGATTATGATATTGATTCTTGGCGATGGCGCCATTTGGCATCTATTCCCACTCGTCAGCGTCCTCCCACCGGTTATATCGTCGAATATGCGTTGAACAACACCTATGCTGAAAGCGAATGTCATAATCGCAATCAGAACTCGAAATAACCCCTATGCACTAGTTTACAGCAAAATTTGCTGGGATTGAGTCGTAGTGAAATCTGGCGCCAAATGGCGCTAATCTGGCGCCAAAAACGGGTGTCACATTCGTGATCAGGTGCCCCGATAACTGTAGTAGGATAAGTTTCAGCGAAATTTTTATTTTTGCCGAAATTAAGTATTAGTATTCTGCTTGAAGTTCCACTTTCTTCTCCTCAATGGAATCGAGTTCATAATCACCTGCTGTATCAACGCGGCCGCCTCTTTGACTGTTATTCTCGTTTTCAGTGTTTCACTCCATGCCACTACCAATTCTTCAGCGGAGAGCTGTAACTGATTTTCATAACATGATCGAATCAAGGAATTTTCGCTAGATCGTTAAATATGAATAGATTACATTCTTGGAGAATGTTCACAAAAATGACACATACCAATCCATCCTTATTTCGGTCAAACTTCTCGAACATGGCGTGAATGTCAGCTTTGCAATCGTTAAGCTGGAAAAGAAACAAGAATGAGTTGAGTCATAATGTCATCTATAGTAAGCGTTAGTAAGTAGTGATCGCAAAGTTTTTTCTAAGAGTAATGGGACACAAGTGAAACCATCTGAAAACTGCTTCACTAAGATTATGCTTACCTTTATTTTGGACGTGACAGCGGCGAGAAACTCCTCGAAGTCGATCTCTCCGTCTCCACTTTTATCAGACGATCGCATCACGGCTTGGACAACCTTCGGGGATACGTCGCAGCCGAATCCACATAACATTTGAGCGACCTGAAAAATCGTAGCGAAAACTTGTTTAGTGGAGGCCAATACCCACATAGTTCAACTTTCGGTTTTTTCTAGCTTCTTACAGTGAACTCCAACCAAAGTAAAAATCGCGCTGAAGAAACGGCTGTGGCAGTACCACGTTCTTCCCAGTGCTAGGTCGTCTACCCGTTACACAATTCCCAACGAGGGGAGGTATTTGGGGTTTTTGGAGGGGGGGGGGGAAAGTCGTGTTTTGGTTCTTGTGTGCTGGTGATGGTGACGGGAGAGGGTCGTATTTGATGTTCCTAGAGGGGGCTGTGGAGGTGAAAGGTGGAGGATCGTGCTGCAGTAAAGGCGAGGGGCAATTTTTACAGGTTTTCGCCAAACTAGGCATAAACTTCGGGAAAGAATCAGGAAAAGAGTCATTGGAAGCATTTGTTATTTCTTCAGACATATTTGTTCTCGATGGCAGTGTAAAGGGAAAGTGAAGATGTTTCCGCCGTGTTGGTGAAAGTGGTATTGTGGGAAGAAGGGATTCATATGGGGAGACCTCACTCATTCTGATGGTGGTGGTGGGGTTCCATAACGAGACTTCCTTAGGAGGGGATGACCGTAAAATATTTGGAATTGGGGCAGTGGACGGTTGATATTGCGAACCCTGTGCCCACCTTCTTCGAAGAGAGTCTCGGTCGGACCTCGTACTCTGTTCATAACGACAAACGGTGTTGGAACAGGAGCTTTTACATTTCACGCCGCTATTCCATTTTGCTGCCTATCCTCGAACCCGCACACCTTGATTACCGGCATTCTTCTGAAACGTTCGCAAGCGAACTGCGGCCAAAAACAACAGTTAACAAACAAAAACAAGTCAAAACTCATTGCTAAAGCTTTCAGCCTCGCGGTCATTGCCGATATAAGCTAAACGGCCTAACATATTGTGGGTGTTAGTGCTGACAAGTTATGGTAAGTACACATGAAGAGCTGAGTTGGGATGAAATGGTGCCCCGGTAGCGTAACTTGTAGCGCACTTGCCCGGTAAGCAAGAGGTGCGGGTTTGAGTCCCGTCTGGAGCGAAAGTTTTTTTTCCTTCATTTTTTTTTCAAATGCTATACGCTTCCACGTGCTTCCTAATACTCAAAGAAGGACACAGGAGCACGAAACCTTCATTGGTTCGCTTGACTGGGAAGATCTGAGTTTCTTTAGGAAAAAGAAGTAGCGCTCAGAGATGTATGTAATGTAGTGGACAGAGATACAGTAGCGCTCAAAAGTATTCAGCCAAATGCTTTTTTAGCCGTAGCTTTCTTTCTGCTGAATCAAATCAGTCCAATTTTTGTTACATTCTAGAGACAAACCTTCTTCACTACTGTCGATTGGGAGAGAGAATTAAGAAAGAAAAAAGTTATTGCACTAGAAATTCCGGACTATGACCGAATTCCGAGTAAGTTTCAATTTATTGTAAAAAGCTTAAAATTTAACAAAACAATCTACCGCATAATAGAAAACGTTGGCCAGATTCAATATTTTCTTGATAACCTTCTGGAGTTGCTTAAAACCTTAGCAAGGTCTAAGTGTGGAATCAGTCACAGATTGCACTATCTCTTGGGACAACCTCCCGATTTCTCCTCGAATTGGACAAGTCTCTCTTCCATCTTCCTGACTTTCCCGCCGAAGGTTTTCCTCACTTCTTTATTGGACACTCAGGACATGTGACTGAATTGGCTGCTCCGTTAGAAGCACGCCATGCTGGCGAAACCACTCCTTCACAGTGGAGGTGCGACGCTTTTGGTCGCTTCATCGCTAGGAGATGAAGACACTAGCGTGCATTTGCCACAAGTTTGAATACGCAATACCTTCTAGTACCTAGATGCATCCGTATGCCTTTACCAGTTCGCGAATCCTCTGTACCGGTACAGCTCTTCTACAGCCTACCACAAACGAGCCTCCGCTTAGTTACAAGGATGGCAGCCGATACCTTGGATCAAAACGCTTTCCGTCAGCATCCAACACATTCCTACCACCGCCGCCGCCAAATATCCTGAACTTACTTTCGTCGCTCCAGATGACGCTAGATTCCTATGGGACTCTCCAATTTGGATGTGCGTAAAATAGTTCCATCTCTTACCACTTCACACTCAACAGTTTTCAAAGGAATCCTGAGCGGTGAGGGCAGACGGAAGCAGGTAAGTTCTAGAAGGTATTGTGTATTCACACGTGTGGCAAATGCACGCCATGTCTTCGTCTTCTAGCAATGGAGCGACCAAAAGCATCGCACCTCCATTGTGAAGGAGTGGTTTCTCCAGCATGACGTGCTTCTAACAGAGCGGCCAATTCAGTCACATGTTCTGAGCATCTTTGAAACACTATGGAAGAAGCCAGGAAAACCGTCGGCAGGAAAAAAGTCAGGAAGATGGTAGAGAAAATGGTCAAATTCGAGGAGAAATTGGGAGGTTGTCCCAACAGACAGTGCAATCACTGATTGATTCCACAGTTAGACCTTGTTAAGGTTTTAGCAACTCCAGAAGGTTATCAAGAAGGTATTGAATCTGGTCAACGGTTTCTATTATGCGTTAGATTGTTTTGTTGAATTTTAAGCTTTTTACAATAAATTGAAATTTACTCGGAATTCGGTTATGCTCGAGAATTTCTAGTGCAATAATTTTTTTCTCTCTTAATTCTCTCTCCCATTCGACAGTAATACACTTGCCTAGTGAAGAAGGTTTGTCTCTAAAATATAACAAAATTGAACTGATTTGATTCAGTAGAAAGAAAGCTACGGCTGAAAAAGCATATGGCTGAATACTTTTAAGTGCTATATGTAATGAGAGCCAATGACATTGAACACGTCACCTCGTTAGCAGTTATCGTTCCAGAACCGTCGTCGTCCATTGACACGAAGATCTTGTAGATCTGAAATATATCTTCTAACTCCTTCCTAGAAAAGTGAAAAATTGGAACAGGATTTGGTGACCGATCTCTTTCAAGTCTCTCTTCGTACGTTTGATCTGGCCAGCAGCTGCAGTCTGTTTCGTGACTTTCCTACTTGGTATTTCTGGTGCCGCTAGCGAATTTCGCTCCCCTAATATTAGCCTCATCACGCAGCTCATTTGGGAAGAATTTCTTTTCGGAAATTAGTTTTCCGACCACATGCACCGACCGTTGTCATTCGACGTGGTTGTTATGTAGTGTGCATTTCCATTAACGGCATTGGTGTTTTGCAATGAGGGCTTAACGTCACGGTGTTTTTCGGATTCGAATGTATCATTCTCGGTGCTAATACATACGACGTTCGCAGCACGAGAGCAAACCCAATTGACTGAAAGAAACAGCCAAAAATTTCATCCTAATCACACTTAAATCACTCGAGTGGAGCGATTCACGAATGTGCTTGTTTTGCAAGTTTCGGCGTTTAATAGCGTACCAAAAGAAGGTTCTCACGACGCCTCTCACTGATGAAGATGTCTTTTCAATCGCTTCAAAGGAGATTCCACGATAAAGTCCAAAGTCGAAGGGGCAACTTACAAAAGGTGATAACTGTAATTCTAGAGGGTCGTGAACGCGTGTCGCGTGCGGCTTCCTTGGCCGGTTGCCAACCGGCCACAATCCGGTGGGTTCTGTGCGCAGGGTTGTTAATGAAGCATTACTGCATATTTTCATCAGCTGAGGCTACGTTTTATGTCTGCGACCTATCACAAACCTCCTCATCGGTTCCACGTACGACGTTTTAGGCTGCTGGTACCAAACTATACTGTGTTGCTCAGGAATATTTTTCGATTTCCTGAGCATGTCAATCTTCATTTGGCGCCTTCAGCATTTCGACTCGAGCCATTCGGATTCCTCGTTGCTTTGACATGCTACGGTTCATCTGGTTATCTTTCACAGGCAAAAATACTGGCTTACAGGGTGCTTGAGTACAGTATCAAGGATGAGCGAATACAAAAAAGAGTATTTTGGTAAAAATCTTAGGCATGAGTGTGTATGTGTTTATATAAGAGTAGGAACCAGTGTCAACCCTGCGTTGCGCAAATTCCAAATTTTTTGCGACCCCATCCATTTCAAGGGGTGTCATTGCGACCCCTTCCCTATTGGACATGTGTGTTTTTAGTGTTACGGTGTATTTCTGTGTGAATCAATGTCAAAAATGGATCTAATATTCGTGATCGGGACCTCCGATAACCCCATTAGACGAAGTTTTAGCGAAAAAAATTTCTGACACCCCCTATGGGAGTTGTAACAATGCAATAGCGCCGGGAACACTTCCGTACTGCTTTGAAGGCCTTTAGCACGGCCTCTAAAGCAGTGCGGAAGGGTTCCCTAAGAAAAAGAGAACAGAAACAAATTCCTTAACAGAAATAAATAAGGCAGGAAAACGATTAGTAAAGTTTGAATGTAAGAATTCGCGCCCATACCGCGACGCGAGGTGGGGTGGAGCGCGTTTTCCACTCGCTTGGGACGCGGATTTGAGGCAAAATGAAATATGAAAAGTTTTATTAGAGGAATTGAGAGGATTTTTTGTAAACCTAGGTACCGTTATGTCCCTAGTGGTTTCTGATTTCAGGTATGTGCCAAGATTCCCGTCAACGTCCAACCGTCTTTCTTGTAGAAGCTGGAAAATCTAAATCTCCAATAGTTACGGGCGCCTTCTTTGAAAGCTTATATCTTCGTCCACAGGCGTTTTCATGGAACCGGACACCAAAATTTCAAAAGTACAAATAGTTTTCTTTCAAAAAAGCATTTGAAATGTTGCGGATGTTCAATATTTGAAAAAAATCGTCCCGTCGTTCCGCGTTACGCGAGTTTTCGACATTCAAACATTCATAACTTTCTTCATAATTAACTTTTTGCAAATTTCTAAGGCTAATTAGAAACTAGAAGATTAGCGCTTTCAACCTGAAAATTTCAGCGATTATTCTAAAAAAATTGTCCCGTCGGTTCCGTTGGGGGGTTGGGGTCCGATTTTGAGAAGTTTTCGACATTCAAACATTTATAACTTTCTTCATAATTGAATTTTTGCAAATGTCTAAGGCTAATTAGAAACTAGAAGATTAGTGCTTTCGAATAAGGGCCGAAACTTTTTTGAAAAATCACTCGTTCAAAAAGTAGTCCCGTCGTTCCGTTTATTTTCAGACTTTTTTCAAGCCTTTCTTCTGAACCGCGACATTGCAATATTCAAGAACCCATAACTTCCTTCAAACTTTATAAAATGGGAAGCGGTAAAGACCGTTAGAATCTACGCGAAGAGTGCTTTACTAGCGTTAACTTTTCAGGAATTCTTTCTTCTGCTTCAATTTTATAAGGGGTCTTTGAAATTCAATTCAGCAAGTTCGCTACACTTTGTTCCGCTAAGATTTGATTTAAAAGCATCAAAATTTTCTTGAGGAAGTTTGTCTGCTTACGGCCCCTGACAGTGAAGGCGTTTCCGTGGGAAGACGCCTGCTCGTGTGTACGCCGTGCACCTGTCTGTGGATAAAAGTCGCAGGTGTTAGTATCGTGATTGTGTTGCATTGTACTGTTATGTGGTACTCTTTTTTCACTTCCCCATGAACTGCTCTACACTTTAATCTCCTTGGGATTTCAGGAATGTTCGATCATCGAAGACAGACCATGTTTTTGCACTACGTTCTAACAAAATTTTTGGCTATTGTGATCTTGATCCATGCTGTCGAGCAAAAACGTCGTCCGTGTATCAATGATAATAATGGATGAAGTGAGACTTATAATACCCTGCATGCTCTAATGCTCCCATGGAACTCTTGTCAGTGCGGCTTTCCGACAGCTGCACGGTGCAGAGCTTTTGCAGAACTTCAGGGCGTGAAAGTGCACTGCCGCACACTGCCTTGTCGCCCTCTTGCAGCCCCGTCCCTCTGTATGCGACCCCCCCCTTTCGTTCGGCAAAATGCGACCCCCTCGTTGTTCTTTGCGCAACGTAGGGTTGACCCTGGTAGAAACCTTAGGCGCTATGTGAGTCGTACGGGCAGGCTGATTTTTGGAGAAGCGGAAAATGGGAATGCTTACCCATCCCGGAGTGTCTCCTTTTTCTAAGGCTTAGTCCTATTACAAAAGACAACGGGAGTCGGTAAGCATACTATTTTGGAAGAGTAGGTAATATCGGAATCGGCGTGCCCATCCGAAAACCACCGGCTGCTGACAAGATGAATGATTAATGATTAACTCGATGATGCCGTTCAAGCCTTGCTCAATCTATAAAATTTGTTGTGCATTGTCTAAAACTCTAGTCTCCCTCCATAATTGCCTTGAGAGCAGAGCTATCACGATGGCAGTGATATGCGGAAATCTGATCAAAGGAAATCGGCAACTCCAACTCTCAGATACTCATTGTTACAAAGTAGATGTCACGGAGTGAAGGTATAACGACGAGATCGGTGGATGAGGACAATGAGCCATCGGAGTAATTGCTTATGCACTTTCGACATGGAAATGGAGGCATCACGTTACTTCACTTCGTGATTGCCACTATTGCGCTCGAAAGTAGTCAGAAATGAGAAGAATCGCGCAATTTGCTCCACAGATGTACTCAGAACTTACACCATCACTGAGACATCAGCATCAGTGAAGTCACCCGAATTGGAAGAGTAGTATACTTCTCAATAAATGTCACAGAGTGACAGCAGAGTAGAGAAAGCTCAGTTTTAAGTAAAATGGAAAAAGCGTATAAGTGCGGACTTGCCGAGAAATCAGCCGCTTCCTTTGCAACACTAGTGTCGCGCTCCAATATAGGATCCGCGCGCGACACGTGTTGCGCGCTGCTCTAGATTTGTAGATGCGGCTCTTACAAAGCAGAAAGGGCGTTAACGTTGAAGTGGGCAACACCGATGGGAGTCGCATCAAAGCGGAGGTTAACGGGTGAGGGACGGGTCCTATTCCTCCGGTTGGGCCGTTTCTCATGCTTTTTTCTTCACTGCCCACCTATACCTTAAAATAATTGGATGCCTTTTAATCGTGCTTCAGCCTCTAACAGCAATAGAAACGGACTTTCTTTTTGTAGACATCTAATTAACTAAGCGATTTGACATTATGATTCCCTCAGCCCCTAGATCAATACACTGCATCAAAGGCAGGCGACTCTTACACACAGAGCTTGTTTTCTACGTATGAGCATCTATCTATTCAACTGACAGTTTTGTACTTGCAGTCGTCTCGGCTCAGTCAGCTGGAATCGTCCATGTCAAATTCAGTTTGCAGACAGCTATCCTGTGGACAGCTATGTGCTAACCATAAGTACATTTCAAAGCTCGAGTATAAGTCGTCTGTGGCTACATTTCTCCATTGCAGTGCTTCTGAGGCTCGAAATCATGATATGCTATCTTGGCTACTTAAATCTTGCACCTATAATTAGCAGCACTGACGTCAAAACCCTACCCATAGAGCGCAGAAGGGCTTTCTCACATCGCTCCTTGCGAATTTCAAGACAGGCCCCCAAAATCCAGTTGTTATTGTTATTCTGCTCAAAAATGAACTTATAGATGCCTATAGAATGTAGAATGTGGAATGAAAAGCAAGAAAGATTGACATCTGAAAACCGTCAATTAAAAGTGAAAAGTTTGTAATCACCGCGGATCGTACCATAAACCAAAATTCCATCCATTTTTTGGCGTTCAGAGGACCGCTGAGGGAAACTGAAGTATAGTTCCATGTTTCATGCACCTATACAATGCAGAAAACTGTTTTGGGAAGAGGGGCACGATTTGAAAGGTCTTCCTTGTTAGCGATCCCTTCAGCGACAAAGGCGTCGATTTCATGGGGCCGTAGGGCAATCACCAGTTCGTCTTTACTGGACACTGCCAAGCAAAACAATGTCGCTGGTCCCAAATAACACATTAATCACCACTATGACAGCTCCCACTTTCAAACGTCCGCTCACATATGAA